AAAACTGGATAATGAAATTCTGCCGGGCCGCTGCCTTTAATGCATGCGGCCCTGAGAGGAGACAGAAAAACATGTCACAGGACCAATTCTCGAGCACAATCAAATATGTAAGAATTGGTAATGAACTTACCGCTTCAGCGTCTTTGATTTTGGAGTTATTGTCCTTCATAATCGCGAGAAGCTCATTACAACGCTCATCGGCCTGACTACGCTCGCGATCACGATCTTCAGCCTGAAATTTGTGAAAGTAGAATCTCTGAACTTGAGAAGGAACGAATGAAGTAAAGTCAAAACAATGGACATCAGCTCAAGGATAAAACTGTAAGCGAATTTTCACAGCCAATATCTATTTATTACCTCTTTTGTTTTCTTCTCCGCTTCAGCTTTGAGTGCTTTCAACTTCGATTCAATATGACGGCGCTCCTCCCTTTCGGAATCCAAAGTGACTCTGAAACTCATCATCTCTCGCAAGTACTATAACACAATAAGAACCTACCGAATGGAATCCAATTCTTGCTGCGACTTCTTGAGTTGCGCTCGAAGTTTTGCTGCTTCCCGCACATCGGACCCAGCTACAGCTACTGGAATTGTAACCGTTGATGAAGCGGGTGTTTTTTCCTTTTCATCTTCAGCTTCGTTAAAATCGTCGCCAAAGTCCGACCATCCACCAGAACCGCCGGATTCTGGATAAAAAGATGGAATTACGACCTTATATTCGAAGAGTAATCTTGTACCTCCAGCACTGCCCTCCTTCCTACTTTTATCCATTTCTTCGATCATTCCAGACAGGGTCACATTTTCCAATTCAAGATTACTTTTCTCGGTCTTCAGTTTGGAAATCTCATTATTAGCTACCTAAATACTAAATTTTAGTCGAAACAAATTTGGACTGTTCGTTTTTAAGAGAGTCCAATTTGAAACACTGACATCAAACTCCTTCCGAAGTTTTTCCAGTTTTTCTTTCGCTATCTTCAAATTTGTGGTAAATTCTTGATTACTGCGTCGCTCGTCTAAATCACATTATAAGTTCCAGCAGAAAGAAAAAGAAATTACTAGATTATGATAATTAAATTATAGCTATGAAACCTTCAAGATTTTGCTCAAGCTGCTTCAGGCTCTCTTTAGAAGTTGTAAGCTCTTCAGTCGTACGCAAATGCGCTTTCTCGCTTTCCTCCAGTAGACGTTTGCAGTCTGCAGCAAGCCCTTGTGCTTCAGTCTTTTGAGTGCGCTCCAGAACTAGCTCAGCTGTAGTGGACTCTAGTGATTTTTCAATGCGATCCACTTCCAATTTCAAACTCTCATTGCTGCAAACAAACGCTGGCTTGGATACAGTCACAGATATGGTATAAAAACTGACCAGAAAAAAAGAGAGTAAACTCACGATTTCAAAAGTTTTTGTAACTCAGCGTTCTTCCAACAAAGTTCCTCGCGAAGCTCATTCGCATTGTCATCCTTGCCTTGGGATTGACTAGCCGTGGTGAGTAGCCTTAAAGGCGTCGAAGAAGCAGCATTTTGTGTTCCGTTACAAAAGAAAGCAAACATTATGTTCACTACCTGTTAATTTCAATATCTTTCGTCTTCAGCTGTTCCTCCATGAACTTGCAATTTGTAGCAAGGTCATGAGCAGCCCTGGAAAATTCATTTTATAACAGGCAAACGAGCGATCATAAGAACGAGCCGAAGATTCACTCTCAGAGAAAGTAATAAGCAGTATACGCAAAAAAAAAGAAAAAAAAGAAATGAGGACTTTGAAAGGAACTAAGACGCTATTTGAGACGAACTAACATTCTGTCAAAGACGTTCGTGTCGTTGAAGTCCGATAAGAAGTATGAAGTGAAGTGGATCACAATCACAGTCATGAGGAAAACAAAATTGAGAATGAGTCCGATACCTGAGTTGAACGTATTTGAAAAAAAATTTGATGAGGGAAAGAAGTCAGAACCTGCATCATCCATGCTACTGAAAACACCTATTGTCCTGATACTGTCGACAAGCGACTTCAAAAATCTACCAACTGGTCCTAAAACAAAAAAATTTAGTTAACGACCACAGGCGAAACAGGGATTGCAGAGGCAACCTGGATTTTGCATTGGAACTTCGTGCTGAGGTTTCTTTACACTCAACTGGTCGCTTGTAGCAGTTACAGACTCCGCTTCAGTGCACTCCTCACGCGTACAGTACTGAAAAATATCTTGTCAGTGGTACGCATATGAACACGGGACTAATGCGTTGTCTTCGCTGGAGAGCTGCTGTAACATATGGTTGCACACAACAATGCAGGGTGAGAACACGCAGAGCCACGTGTACATGACTGCGTCCTAATTGACCCCTACAAGCAGTGAAAATGCAATAAATTTACAAAGTGCACGTATTCAACTTATTTGCAATATCAAGTCACTTCCTTCTTTCGAGTAACTTAGAATTAGAGCACCAAAGATAATTGATGGAATATTTTGTAAAAGCATTTCCGATGTTTTAGTTGATTCGTGCTGAACCATTGCATTTCCAAGCGGAAAAGAAGACCTTGACTGAGTACATGTCGTCCACTCTATGATCGCTGCTACCCCTGCTATGTCTCTAACTTGCGGCATGCTTGGCCAACATGTTGGCAACATGCAGCAACATGTTGGCAGCAATTGTATTTCTCTTGAGGTTGAAGGCAGCGTCCAGGCACCTGTCCCCAGCAGTGTAATATCTGCTCCATGACGAAGCCGGTTGCCCAAATAGGTTGAAAGCATGCAAGGCTGACGCG